AAGCAAGGTAGTGTGGGTAAAGTGGAGGAAGTTCAGGTTCACTTTTTTTTAAATAGGCTGAGGGAATGCGGTGTAAGGCACTGACATCTTCTTGAGCCGGTTTGACTAGTCGCCCACTCCAATACATAAATACTAACACTGCGTGTCTAATAAAAACAAGACCACACAACTTCTGCTGATCTAACACAGCCTTTTGGATCAGGTTCTTTTCCTTAAATTGCTTTATTGAAGTACAATTCACAGCATGGAGCCAAATCCTGTGGCCAAAAATATAACAAATGCTTAATTCTGATAAGAAATGTTTTCTTTGTAACCATAAAAAACTCTCTTTGATATGAAAAAGTTATGTTTGAGGCCAAAAATGCTACTACTGAGGTTATATGCTGTGGTATGTTCTGCGGAGGCTTTTTTCAATGTGCCAGACAAAATAAATGTAAAATCCAATGCATCATTCCTAATAGATGACTGGTGGCCTTCAGTGTGGTATAAACTTTCATTTTTCACCTCTAGGCCTGCTCAAAAAAACATGCCAGTCTGGCTGGCACCATCTTCTTCTTCTGCATTTGGTAAGACCTTTACTGTAATGTGTGATCTCACAAGGTGACACAGCTACAATGCTCAGCCAGGGCGAATAAAAGTATCACTCTGAGTGATGGATGAACATTAAAAGGCTGTAAAGGCAAATGTACACATTGCAAGCTCACTATACTCAGTACTTCCCCACAGGAATGAGACAGATTGGGATACGTTACGTAAATACAGGGGAGGAAGTCTTCATCTAAAGTTAATAAATGACCCGGCCAAATGTCAACGTTGCCATGCGCCAGTTGCTCTAAATCTAACCCTTTTGTTTGCTGCAGTTCATTCGTGCTCTTGCAAAACACTTGACCCTTTCTAATATCTGCATCCTGGATTCTGCCTTTGTTAGCTTTCTGGATGGGAAAAATACCCTGGATTTACCCTCAGCAGTGCCACACCATCCACATGCAGCACTGTGTAAAGGTCAGAGACCCTTCATGTGATTTAAAGTCAAACAGGCTATTAAGTTCAAGTTATTCATTCATTATCATTACAGCTTCCATTCTTTTCAGGAGACTCGCTTTCAGTTTTTCAAAGAAATCTGCAGTCTTAGAGGTTTCACTTTCTGTTTCTCACAGTCGGAGTAATCCCAAACATATTCAGTGATGTTGAGGTCTGGACTCTGGGGTGGTCAGTCCATTGTTCTGAGAGCACCAGCAGCTTCTTTGATTTGAAACGTTCTTCTTTTTCTCAGTAATGTCTTTTTGAACAGCTACACATCCTTTCAGACCCATAGTGCTGAGTTGTCTTCTCTCAGTGGAAGGATGGACAGAAACACCTGTGGATGTTTTCAGATCTGAAGCAGTTTGATTTTCTCCTCTCTCTCAAAGATGAAAGCTTTAAGTGCTGTTTTATTCTGATGGGGACAGTTTTGGTGTCTACCAGGTGTTTCAGGTGGTTGTTAGGAGTCACGTTTTTACTGTTTAATCTCTGTTTAATCTCTGTTTAATCTCTGTTTAAGTTTTCAATCAGTTTTTGATCTAATAGAATCTGCACACTTAAAAAACATGGTTCGTCAAGGGTTATTTAGTAAAGGAAATTTAGATCCATGAGACAAAACATCATATCTCCATCATGGTAACTTTACAGGAGAAGGAAAAAACATATTCTACTTTTAATGTAAGTCAATGGAACCAGAAGTCCTTTGGGGCCGTTTCTTTTGGTCCATTCATGAAATTTACCCACAATGTAAAGGGCAACAGGTATTTTCAAATTATGTCAAAAACTGAAGAATGACAAAAATGGAGATAAGAGGTTTTGTTTCAACAGCAGCAATATATTTCTACATAGAACCTTTTTGAAAATGGTTCTATATAGCACCAAAAGGGTTCCTCTATTGTTACAAGCTCGACATCCTAACAGTAGCAGAAACCTTGGTGCTATACGTTTATTTTCATCCATGTTCTTTCACTACAATGCCCAGCATGCATTGCACAAATACAGCATACAACCATTGGGAGCCCCCCTCACAATGATAAGGAAATGTAGACGCTAATAATTACTTAATAACTTTCAAACAGTCCACCTTTGTCTCAGTCCCAAAACCCCTCTAGTCCTTCTCCTCTTCAAGACACACAATTAGAGGGTGTAGAGGGTTTAAACCAGTGAGTATGATGGCTTTTTCGTTGACATATAGTGAATTTCTTAATAAATCTGGAGTGCCAGTCACAACCAAAGAATACGCTATAGCTTTCAATGCCACTCCTCAACAAACGTTACAGCGTCTTAAGGGTTCATCGAGATATGGATGTCATAGGGAAGTCATAGGGAATGGTCTCTTTATTAAAACTGATATCCTTAAATATGAATGTAAAAACAAATATAGTAAGAAAATCATATCTAATGAAAGTATTCATGAACAACCATATTAGTCTTTTGTATTTGTGGACGTAAACTGGAATAAAGCATGGACAATGTGTGATAAATATTGTATGAAAAAGAAAATAAAGGAAGTGACTTTTAAAATCTTACACAATATAAAGCCTGTTAAAAGTGTTTTAGTGAGATTTAGAATTATTAATGACATTAATGAATTCCTCTGCCTTTTGTTGGATAGACAAGGAAACAAGTGTCCACTTGTTTGTCCAGTATACCTATAATGAAGTTTTTTGGATTGATGTGGAAAATTTTGTAAGAAGAAAGACTGGACACTGTATTTCACTGGATGATTCAGTTGTTATTATTTGTTTTTCTATGGACAGATTAGATGTTAAAGTATTTCTTTTTGTACAGTGTTTATTATTGTATTATAGTATTATGGTTAAATATAATTTACATAGGAATGATCTGAATATAGGTCACACTTCAACAAGAAAGCAAAAAGGACTTTGGAATTATATATTGAAAAAAAAAGTATGTAGGATTTAGCAACAGATTTAGCAATGTTTACATTTTCTGTTTTGGCCAGAGTGTCACTTTAAATTAAGACAAAAAGAAAAACATAAAGGTAATTAAATAAAGTAATAAATGACTAGAATAAAAAATAAGAAACTAAAATAAATAGAACACAACTCTCTCTTATCCAGCAAATTTTTGCACAAAATATCTGACATAAGGGAGCTGACATACTGCAACGTAATGTAATGGAGTAAAATGTCAGTGTATTGGAATGGAATGACATGTAAATGTAATGTAATGGATGGCATAACATGCCAATGTATTGTAATGGAATACCTTATCAGTGTCAATGTAATGTGATGTAATAACATGTCAGTGTAATGGATTGGAATATCATGTCGGTGTAATGGAATGGAATATCATGTCAGTGTAATGAAATAACATGTCAGCGTACTGTAATGGAATAACATGTCAGTGTAATGTAATGGAATATCATGTCAGTGTAATGTAATGGAATAACATGTCGGTGTAATGGAATAACATGTCGGTGTAATGAAATAACATGTCAGTGTAATGAAATAACATGTCAGTGTAATGCAGTGGAATAACATGTCAGTGTAATGTAATGGAATAACATGTCAGCATGCTGTAATGGAATAACATGTCAAAGTAATGGAATAGCATGTCAGTATAATGGAATGGAATAACATGTCAGCATACTGTAATGGAATAACACGTCAGTGTAATAGAATAGCATATCAGTGTAATAGAATAACATGCCAGTGTAATGTGATGGAATAACATGTCAGTGTAATAGATTGGCATTAACATGTCAGCGTGCTGTAATGGAATAACATGCCAAAGTAATGGAATAGCATGTCAGTGTAATTGAATGGAATAACATGTCAGCGCACTGTAATGGAATAACATGTCAGTGTAATTGAATGGAATAACATGTCAGTGTACTGTAATGGAATAGCATGTCAGTGTAATAGAATACAAAAACATGTTAGTGAAATGGAATGGAATAACGTCAGCATACTGTAATGGAATAACATGTTAGAATGGAATAACATGTTAGTGTAATAGAACAGAATAACATGTCAGCATACTGTAATGGAATAACATATCAGTGTAAAGTAATGGAATAACATGTCTGTGTAATGGAATGGAATAACATGTCAGTGTACTGTAATGGAATAACATGTCAATGTAATGTAATGTCAGTGTAATCGAATGGAATAACATCAGTGTAATCGAATGGAATAACATGTCAGTGTACTGTAATGGAATGGCGTAACATGTCACTGTAATGGAATGGAATAACATGTTCGTGTAATGGAATGGAATAACATGTCAGTGTAATTGAATGGAATAACATGTCAGTGTACTGTAATAGAATAGCATGTCAGTGTAATAGAATAGAAAAACATGTTAGTGAAATGGAATGGAATAACATGTTAGTGTAATGGAATGGAATAACATGTCCGTGCAATGTGTTCAGTATGATAAAGGTATTATAAGAATACGACACAGGAAAGGAGAGCTATTGTAATTGCCGTTGGCATTACTGTTGTATCAGTAGATCTTTTTTTCTGTGGCTGGGTTAGTTTCTGCATCTACAGCTCTTTTAATAGAGAACTAATCTATTAATAAGCGCAAATCAGCATCATGCAAAATACATATTTCCATAGATATGATTATTCACAGTGCAGGGAAGCGCAAAGGCCTCCCACAAACTGACAGAAGATAAGAGATAACATGACTGAAGTGTCGTGCAGGTAAAAATGACACTGATGTGAAACCATTAGACTCAAAGAAGTGAAAAGGGGGAAATGAAACGCGACCCAGATTCTCCGCCTGTCACTGACAGCGTTACACTCAGATAGCAAACAGCTAAATCACTGCTGCTGAACTCTCAGCTATTCAAAACCACAGCTCCGGCTCCGTGTCGCCGCCTCTGATTGGCTGATGGTGTCCACCAATCAGCGCCAACTCTATGTTGCCGTCTCTGATTGGCTGGTGGCGTCCATCAGTCGTTTCCAGCTGCCTGTCGCTGTGTCTGATTGGCTGAAACGCGTGTACTAGTGCGCGAGGCAGGTGGAGCGGTGGTAGTTCTCAGGTGAATCAAAGTGTGAGGTGAGCGGTTCTGGACTGGACTGGACACGAAAGGTTCTCGGTTCACGTGTTTTTGGCCTTTGACAGGTAAGAGTTCCTTACTGTCAGCGCTGAAATGGAGTCCTGTAGGTGGAACAGTTTCGAGGCTGAAGTTGTTCATCTTCTTGTTCGAACTCTCCGCTCCACCTTAAACGGCGCGGCTGTTACACTGTGGTGCCTCCAATGAAGCGTAACTGCCGGAATAGAACTACGGCAGCGTTTAAGGTGGAACCGACAATTCGAACTTCAGCTTCTTTCAAAAGTTCGCAGTTAGTAGAAGATACTCAGCTGACTTGAGCTGTGCGCTCGTATTTTGTTCTGAGATTGAAGAAGTTCTTTCAAAATAAACCTTAAAACGGACAAATGAGCGCGGTCATGTTCAGCAGTTCAACAGAGTGGAAGTAAACAGCTCAGGGTTTACAGCTGTCTCCGTTCATATGTTTACGTTTTAGATATGGAAGCTCATTGCTGATATTCCTGATTTGGAAAGGAGGAAATATCGTCCCATTTTTCTCCTTCTATGTTTCTGGCAGCAGTAGGTCAAAACTATTGACTTAGTATTTCGAGGTACTGTCTAATTTTATCGAAATACTGACTTAATATCTCGTAATAATGGCTAATGGTATCGAAATACTGAATTTAATATATCTGAACAAACACAGATTTGCTCAAAATATTGACTTAATATCTCGAAATGGCTTATTTTCTCGAAATATTCACATAACATCTCAAAACAATGACTGTTTTACTCAAAATATCGACTTGGTTTCTCGAAATAACATTGTCTTACATATTTGACTTAATATCTCAAAACAATTGCTTATGTTTTGTAATGTTGACTTAATACTTCAAAATAATGTCTTATTTTCTCGTTATGTTGACTTAATATTTGGAAATAGTTACTTATTTTCTCATTGTTGACTCAAAATCTCAAAATAATGACAAATGTTCTTGAAATATTTCCTGGAATCTGGAGTATGTGGAAATAATGACCTTTTTAAAATGATTTTCTGCATTACTATGTCGAAATAATGAGTCATTAAATTTCAGGAAAGTAACTATGTCTAGATAATAAGTCATGATGTTGACTTAACAAGTCATTGTTTTGAACATAGCAAGCCAGTGTTTTAAGAAAATAAGTCATTATTTTGATATACTAATTCAAAACTTTATCATTCTGCAGAGAATGTATAGGCAGTTTATTTCTCCTCTACTGGGCAGGAATTGTGTTTAAACCCACAGGCAAGAGTCTAATAGGAAAAGCTAGTGTTGTTTACATCACAAATCTGGTTTATTCATATTTATTCATAGCGGAAACATGTTATGGATACTCCAGTGTGTTTGTACGACTGTTAGCTCATTATAAGCCACAGTGGATTGTTTACACACAGTGTCGATGTAACCAAACCCTTCAGATCTGTTTCTTCATGTCACTGTATGTGAGTCTGAAGCGTGCGTGCTGGTTCCAGATCATTCCAGTAGTAAGTCCTATGCTTGATCACAGAGTTTAAGGTCCACATGAAGGTGTCCTGCAGAAGCTGAGTTAATGTGTGATAGCGAGAAGGGGAATCAAGGGAGTGGTTTAATCCAGCTGCGTTCGCCTGCAGTAATAAAGACCCATTCTCATCACTTTGGAAGACCAAAGTCGCGTTGATGGCTTGTTTAGAGATCGTTTATTGGGTGTATTTCCCCTTCAGAAGACGTCTACCTGGTTTCAGCAAGTCAGATCAGACTGAAATCAGACTGGAGAGCTCATGCTGATGTCCTGATGCTGTTTGTATGCATACATGACAGCGGGTTACTCATGCTGGACATTCCCACAGTTTAATGTGCTCTTCATGGTGCGAATGTATGTGGGTTTCCCGAAATTATGGCTATTTCAGCCAGAAGGGCCACATACATAACAAGGCCAGCTGGATGGGGGCACGTTAAAACCAGTACTGAGAAAAGCAGAAAGCTGTTTTTATTATTATTATTATCATCATCATTATTATTATTATTATTAGTAGTAGTAGTATCTCTGTAAGTATATCAGCTCATGCTTCTGGACACAGGTCCAGTGATGTTCCCGGTAGAATTGGCAGATGTACTCACAGATTTAATAACAACAGCAGCAGCACTTTTTGAAGTCATTTTGAGATGGACCCTAACTCTAGAGTAGATGCAGGACCATGCTAAGTTGAAGCTTAGTCTAATGAAAGGTAGGCTAAGAAACGCCCCCCCAACCACCACCCCAAACCCATGAACCGTTCACCACAGTTTTTTTGTTTGTTTATTTTCTCACACATTTATCCGAATTAGTTGCACATCAATGTGTTCGCGCCTTACATGTGACTTTATTACACAATTATATAATTTGATAATTATTATTAGAGGTGCCAGATTGCGACATGACTGAGGACACGCCCACTAATGTGACATTCCACTTATAGTAGTGTGTAACATTAGGTGATTATCTCCTTGAACGGTTATTCTGTTTGGCATGCGTCAACACATCAGCCCTTCGGCACCTGAGCGCAGATTAAGTACTGGACTAAAGTTTAACATCAAAGGTGTTTCGGCACTTAAAACTGCGTGGAGAGTTTTCAGGATGAGGGTTTAATCTGAGTCAGAAGAAGCAGCCCTTTGGAAATGATGTACTTCAACATGATGAAAGGCTGGGAGAATGTGAAGTATGTGTCCTTGGGTATCAAGGGCAGCCATCAAGGCTGGACAATCATTTACAGTAGACACACACCAAACTGACCAGTCCAGTCAGCCGAGGCACATGTGTGCTCTTAAAAACAACAGCACCAGACAGGCTTCATTGGAGCGATGCCATAGAAGAGTCACTTCTGGTTCCATGAAGAACCTTGTTTTTTTTTTTTTACATGGAGTTTTATGTAGTGTGGAAACATTGTTAAAGTCAAGTAGTCTGTCATTCCTCAGTGTAACTTGAATACATTGGAACGAAATGTTGTTTTTCAGGCCCCATGGTGCAGCACTCAACAGCAGCACCAGTGCAGATACACGACGGTGTGAAATGAGTGCAGTATACCAGACAATAAGTATACAGAATAATAAATACATGCAATAAATATGACGGTGTACTGTTCGCTACCCAGTCCGTATATGGAAACGAATCTAGTATTAAGTGAACATGCCTGTCGACTTCAGCAGCAGAACTTCATTGCGATATGATGCATTCCCACTTTCAAACCCAAAAATAATAGCAAGCAAAGCTGTTTATAAGCCGCGACAATAAGCATATTGTGATATTGGCTCAGTGTGCAGCAACGTTTTGTAGGACTGTTCCTTAACAGCCTCATAATTCAGGCACAATGTAAATGTACATACCTTTTTGTTTACCACACGGTGTGATAGTAACAAAAATACCATTCATTTTTCACCAGGTCCGAGCTTTTCTCTGAGAAATCATAAAAATATTTTTCAAAGAAATCCAGCTTACATATGGAGCTAGTATAGATATGATGCAAACGACATAGTGACATCACAGCTACAGAGGTCTGTTGCAAGCGAGGTGATTGGAAACAGAAGCAGAAGACCTAAGTATTTCATTAATCGATTGGTGGATTTGGTGATAAATTGGTAGATTTATCAAATAATAGTCACTTAGTCCACTGAAATAATCATAAGCTAGTTGCAGCTCTAATAACTTGCAGAATGTTCATCTGAAGTAGTCTAGTATGTGTAGTATGTAGTACTCTGATTTGGACACAGCGTAATAGATTCCATTGCAACCAGGCATTTTAATATCCAGACAGTGTTTCTCTTTTTGACGTCAGACCACATGTCCACTCTCGCTGCATCAAAGCTAAGCACAGTGGCACTCAAAGACAGATATGATTAAGCCTGTGTGAGTGCAGGTGTAGGCCCAGGCCCTGCCTACTGGCTCTTCAGGTTTACAGGGAGGACTCCGTGGGCCTCTTTGTGTATCTTCCATACGCCCAGCGAGACGTGTGTGCTCTTGCAATTAGCACAGTTTAACGAGGCGAGATTGAAGCTTTGGTATGCTGAACAACTTGAAAACCTCCCCACATGAACAATGATTGCTATTCATGCATGTTTGTGTGCCTCAGAGCCGTCCTCTCCCTGTTTCAGCTGCTCTGGAGGCCTGGATTAGCTGAAGTTTCTTACGCCGAACAGCGATTCAGCTGTTATGAGTCTCTCATGCGCTATACTCGAGCTATTGGTTATTCAAGCTGATGGTGCTGGCTTTTTCTTTAGAAGGCCTAATTTAAGTCAGCAGCTAATTATTAAGCCCTTGATCTGTTAAATATAGAGTGATTAGTGTTGTTAATGTTGTTATTGTTGCATTAACTGACCCATTTACAGTAGCTCCTATTTCTAACAAGGTCTTTACTGTGAACGTCACTATTGAGGAAATTAGTAATAGAGTAATCTAGATAATCCATCTAGATCAGGCCAGACAATAAATATGGACTTAACAAACCATGCATAGCCTTTCAGATATTCCAAAATACCTTAATGGAAGAAGAAGCTAAGAAGAAAAATATGGAAGAAAGAAAACTATATAAATATAAGAAAACTATATAAAAATATAGAATCATTTAAAAAATATTAAAGCACGCATTTAAAACGTAAAAAGTGGGGAAAAACTGCACAGTGGTGTGTCTATCATGCTCTATTTCTTACCAAGAATTTAAAATATGCACAAATTATCTCCTTAAATATTTTTGCTTTCATTCAAGTGATTGAGTTTAGTAAATAGGCCTGTCACAAGCATTACATAGTTGCCTGATCGCAGTTATTTGAGCTGATTGCAGTAATATAAGCTGACTGCATTTATTTTCCACAGCTTTCACAGTTACATCTTGCAGAATTTGAATTGAGTACATTTTCATCTGTTGCATTGAGGCATATAAATTAAAGAAACTATTCATTTAATGACACACCTCATGGGTTGAGTAAAGTTCTGACCAGCGTTATAATACCTTTAGAGGGTAGCGGTGAGCAATGTTGTTTATTTGAGCTCGAGCTATTTCTATCATCAGTTGTGAGAAAATATTGATGGCCAGGAAAGAGGAATTGCATCAAAATGTGCCGCTAACAAGAGTAGACCCCCTCTAATGCCCACCGCCAAATTCCTCTGGTCAGTGCTCTTTTAACAACTGGACTACAAGTGATAACACCAAACAAGCTAGCTAGCGAAACGCTGTTGTTAACTACAGAACTTTTTTCCCCTTGCAAGATGTAATTTTTATTTGTACCTCATGTAATGCGTCCTCAACATACATCTGCATGAGTTTTTTAAGGGAATTTTCAGTCATGCTAACTTACGTTACACCCATGGGCCAACGAGGTTTGTTCTCCGTTGGATAGTGTTGATGATGAACCCTAAAATTTCTCGTGGTTGTCCCCAGATGTTCTTGTTCTTGAAGTCACGTCTGACGATGTAAGACTAGACAGATAGCTAATCAGCTAATTTGGCAACTTTAGGCTTGTACATTTAAAGCTGCATACAGGGAACAAAAAGAAAATGAACCGCAACTGTTTGACAACTAGTCATTAGCCAAAATTTCATGATCATGACAGACCTATTATTTGATTAATTGCATCAGCAATTGTCTTTACATGTTCTATAGCAGTGGTCCCTAACCCTTCTCTTGGAGATCTCCTTTCCTGCAGAGTTCAGTTCCAGCCTGGATCTAAAATGCTGCCTCCTCCCTAAATAATGCTAATGCTTCTGATGTTGGAGTAGTTAATTAGCTGGAGCAGGTGTGGTAGATCATGGTTGGAACTAGACTGTGCAGGAAGGCAGATCTCCAGGACCAGGGTTGGTGGCCACTGCTGTAAAGAAATGATGAAGACAAGCTTTTATTTCCACATCATGCATAGTGGATGGGTTTGTTTTGCAGCATTGTGTTGCTGTAGTTCCACTGTGTATGCGGAATTTCACTGTGCCTCAGTGCCAAGATTAATCTGTAAACCTTTCTTGCCGAGATCACACAGTTGGGTGAAGCTGTATCTTCATGTTTTTGTTGTTTTTCCCTGTCAGGGCGTAGTCTGCAGCGACACGTCCAGATTCTGAGGCCTCTATATTTATTTGTGCTGTAATTCATTTAAGTCAAAGGTGGATTGAGGCCGTATTCACAGCTAGTAAGCTGTCCTGTAGAGTTTTGAAAGCCTCCTCAGCTTACTTTGTTAATGGTTAGCCCTCAGTGGAGTGAAAATATTCCACGGTCTCTAGAACCTTAGGAATGTTGTCACCATGGCAAGTTCCACAATATCTTCTAAAGTGAAAATGGAATAAAATTAGATGTCACACTCCTGCCTGTGTTTTGTTAGATTTACACAAGAACTCTCACTCTTCTTTGCGGAACCAGAACGGTCTTGGGCCATCTTGCATGCACAGCATGTTTAAGATCTATTCACAGGTGTTCAAGTAAGGGGACTGTGAGGGCCATTACAAAAGCTGGCTGCCACACAACCCCAAAGCATAATAGATCCACCCCCATGCTTAACAGTTGGCAAAGTGTTCTTTTCATCAGATGCTGCTCCTTTTTTTTCCTCAAGCATAACTTTGACCACAATCACCAAAGCATTGCATTTTTACTTTATCAGTCCAGAATGGCTTTTCTAGATGTTTTACATATTTGCATACAAATGTTGGCTTTTGTGATGAGGTCATAGGTAAAGTTTCCTTTTGATGATGCTTCCATGCAGATCATGTTTATGCAAGCAACACGGCATAGTAGAATGGTGCACCACCACTCGTGTTTCAGCTAAACATTCCTACAGGTCCTTTGCTGTCATATGGGAGTCTTCCAGATCTTGTCTTGATTTCCACAGTTCTCCTTTACTGACATTTCATAATGATATTTCTGATAGTGGAAATTGCGAGCTGGAAGTGTGTTGATATCTAATTTTTAGTACATGCTTTGTAGGCATCAGTTAGCTTCATTTTCAGATCCTCAGCCAGTGGCTTAGAACTGGAAGGGTGTCTAAACTATTGCACATGCAACAATCAAAATAAAAAAATACGTAATTTGCGCAGGGGTGCACAAACTTTGTATACAACTGAAAATTAATGCTCGCAGTGAACATCCCATTAAGATTATTAGACCAGCAGGTCAAGAGATGCATAACCTAACAGCACAAAGATGCCTGAAGATAAAGGCCTAAATCCTGTTCATACTCTCACATCTGTGAACTTTTCGTCCCACAGAGTAGCATTTCGCCTGGCGACAGCAGAGCTTCCTGGAGGTGTTACTCCAGCCATCATTGCTCCTCATGTGCAATGCCAGCGAGTGACACCTGGCCATGCAATGTTGCCATGGAACCTTTGGTCAGCATGAACAGTGCAGGCAGCAGTGACAGTATGGTCAGCATCAACTCTGGCTTTGTGAGTATCAAGACTCGTACTTTGTGTGGTCCCAATTGTAATTATTTACAGTGATCTGTTATTGGAAAGGCCTTAACACATTTGAATTGGTAATTATTTCCTGCTACATTAAAATTCCAATGAGACTAGGGAGTTGTGTTTTTTTTTAAAAGCCATATGAGTAAACTCATTTTAAGTGGCTTTTACAGTGTGAAGAATGTTCATTTTCTAAGAAAAATGCAGATCATTCCATGCATTTTATGAAGGTGAGTGGGAGAAGAAACATTTAGTTACACCATCCACACGCTGATAAGTAGGCATTTATCAAACAGTGTGATCAATCTTATTTTTTTTGTCAGTAACTTGACACTTGTTGCCCGAAGCAACTAGCTTTACTGTAACTGCAGTGACAGTGCCTTGGGGGAAACTTAAAGTGCTTACCATTAGCTGGGATCAAACCTAAGATGTCTTAAGCAATAGTCAGTGTAAAATGTTAAAATTTGGCTGAACTGGCCAGTTGCAGTCTGAAGGTGAGTCGAGAGGTGGTGTTATGAAGAGTGGGTTGGTTTGTCATTCCATCAGGAAAGTGAGAAAGTCAAATATCAGGCTTTCTGATCTGCTCCCACTGGCTTGTTGTCTTTCATCCTGTGCCTTAAAGCCACACAGGAAATTACAAAGCAAACTAAAGGTAAAACGAAAACCCTAAAAACAAAAACAAGAGGAACACGGAAACATTAAGACATTGCTTATCTAGTGTAATGATCTACTTATCTCATACCCAGGAAGGCTTTTAGGGTTAGAATAAACATGCTTTTTTAACAAAATGCAAGTTACTCACAGGATTCTTATGCCATGCTGTAGACAGAGTGATTATCTATGACCCTTAACAACCTAGATTGTGTTTTTTCATTTAAAGCTGCACTATGAACGCAATGTGTGGAGGAACATTTTGTCACATGGATTATACTTTCAGACCCCTTTCCTGAGCAGGTGAATCTGATAATTGTGAACGCGGTGAAAGAGTACTCAAAGAAAACCCAGTCAAAACATGATAAATTACATGTTTCCCAGAATGTAAGTGAATTATGTAGTATGGTTACCTTCATCAGCACAGTGCTGATTTTGCAATTGAGACCTAAACATTGAGCCAGACCAGTAAAGACATTGTCCTAAAATTTCCACAAAATCTGACCCGACGCCTCTGACTTGTAAATAACTATTTAAGGCTTTACATGCACAGACAGCATATTTTCGTGTGTTTTTTCCTCCTGCTGCTTTCACTTTTAACAAAAAAAAAAAACGTACAGTGCAGCTTTAAACATGGTTTAACACTACGACAAATTTTCCATGGCTGTCAGCATCAGTGCTGCTAACAGTGCTTTACAAATAAATCAGTGTCAGTTATAAATGAGTTACTTCTATTTCTTTCTATTTGGTATGCAATAGAGTGACGACAGTATGGAGCATCTCTCAGCTGAGGAACGCGCGTGCCTCATGTTCCTGGAGGAGACAATCGAATCTCTGGAGGCAGAAGACGACAGTGGCATTTCCAATGATGAACACGATCGCTTGAGTAGCAGTCAGCCAACCAAGGTGGCCCACCTTAGCCCTGTTAGCCAAACCAAACAAGAGGGTGCGTACCAGTAGGGCTAGAGCAAGTTAGAAGTTAGCCCGGAATGTTTTTCCTTACCTGTTTTTTATATTAACTCATATTTTAAAGTTGAAACTTGCATTTTTATATCTTTTTTTTGTCTTTCAGAGGTACCATTCCACGATGATCCCAACAAAGTTTTGGGAAAAGACTGTAAATCACATAGACTGCTTGTGCCAACTCCACTAATTCTAGCCAATGGCAGTGCTAGAATTCTGAAAAAAACAGCTGAAGTCAGCACACCTGAACAAAAAGCAGTTCCATTAGTTAATGAACCTAATGGCTCTCCATCAAACTCTCACCATCCACCAGCTATGCTAGCTGCTGCAGATGATCCTGCCCATTCATCTCTAAACCCTGAGCCAACAGCTGACAAATCAAAGGAGCTGGCTGACTTGCCACCTTCTTTCATACCTGAGCCTCCCGTTAAGGCCAACTCTTCCAACAACTCTAAAACTAAAGACGGTCCTACTAAGTCCCAGCTATTTCCCAAACCAGACCAGAAGCGCCAGAGTGGTACATCTGAGATGCTAATAGAGCTGATTCCGCCTCCGACAGACTTTATGGATGAGCCAGAATTCCCTCCTCCACTACAAACACAGTCACCAGAACAGAGTCAAGCTCAAGCTCAACAGAAAGCACAACCTCAGGCCCAGGCTGAACTACAAGCTCAAACCCAAGCTCAACCCAAAGCACAACCTCAAGCCCAGGCCCAGCTACAACCTCAGACACAAGCCCAGGCCCAATCCAAAGCAGAACCCCAAGCCCAGGCCCAACTACAACCTCAGACACAAGTCCAAGCCCAGGCCCAACTACAACCTCAGACACAAGCCCAAGCCCAACCCAAAGCACAACCTCAAACCCAAGCCCAACTACAACCCCAAACCCAAGACGTGACACAATCTCCGCCTCAACCACAAGACCAACACAAAGAACAAACCCAACCACAACATCAGCCACAGCCTCTACCACCTCCAGAAAGCATAACAATTGCCCCTCCACCAGGTTTTGATGGGCAGACTGAGGATGACAAACCTCAAAGCACAGTGACTCCACCCTCCAGAGGACGACTGTCTCCTAGTGAACTGGAAAAGTTACGTAAAAAGGCCTCACAGAAGAAAGCCCCTGGAGCAGCACTGGAAGTTGCAGCACGACCACCAGGCCAGAGAATTTCAGACCAGGCCAGTTTTCCTGTTTCATGTACAGATGGCCGTCCTAGTACTGCAGTAGAACACAGCGAACCTAAAAGTCCACCAGCTGTGGCCCCCAAACCCAAGAAACTCCCTTCCAACATCATTCTTAAAAGCCACAAAGATTCTGGGCCTGGTCATTCTCTTGTTTCGCCAGGCGAACGTATGATGACAAACCCACAGAAGGTGCACATGGAGGCCTTGAAGAAACTGGGCTTGTTGAAGGCTGATGAGATTGACTCCAGCCCCAGCCTCAACTCTAGTCCACCCCAAAGAATCCCTCCACCTCATCCTTTTAACACAAGCACTTCAGCAGTACTACCTACTGGGGATACAGCCCAAGTTCAGTCTACACCTGCAGAGCAACATTCAGCAGTGGATGTGCAAGGGAAGACAGATTTGCTTTTATCTGCAAGTCCAAACCCTGTCAAAGGAGGAAGAGAAAGTCCGGTGATCCAGAGGGGCCAGAGTCCAAAACCCTTTGAGATCAAATCAGCATCCTTGGAGCGACCAGGTGAGGGCCTTAAAAGTGTCACAGCTGACCATTCCTCTCACTCAACAGGCCAAGAGAAGACTAATGTGGAGTTGTCCCCCGGACAGTTACGAAAGAGCCGACCTCGACCTGCTTCTGCAGGGAGTCGCAAGGACTTTGGCATTGACCAGCTGCCTTCTGATCCAAGCAGAGAACCAGATGTCAGGAGGTCTCTTGGATCTTCCCCCATACCTCCATCAACTCAGCCAAGCACAGACTCGCAGAAGACTCCCCGTTCCCATGGTATGATTAGTGTGGTGTTCACCCCACACAGCAAGAATGGGGAAGAACGCAAGCAGGCCCTGAGGAAACTGGGGCTGATAAGAGACTGAGGTTCAGTCTGTTTTCCCAAGAGACTACTGTCCCACAGTAGGGAGGCTGATCAGTGTGATCAGTGGACCTTGTACTTTGACGTGGCTCAGCTGGAATGTGGGAAAACTTTGCTGAAGATCAGCACTCTTAATTTTAGATGAAGGTACATATGGGTCACTGTTTTTGTATCTACACTGGACATGTAGAACAGGTGCCATAACAGAACAGTAGCCACAGGTGCACAGGTGTACACTAAAAACCTATGGGCCTGTTTGGTAGAACATTCTGTGCTAGTGGTGGATAAGGGAAATGTTAAGGATCACTACTGACTGTGGATAAAGTTTATCACAGATAATGAAAAGTTGTGTATATACTGGACTGTGTGTAGTATTTCTGGCTGAAGGAGTTCACACCGGGATTTGCTGTCTAACAAAATTGTTGATTGCTGTGCTGAACTTTTTAAAATGTTCAGTAAAAAATGGACAAACATATCCAGACAGACAGGCACATGGTTTCTCTGCTTCCTTCATACATTAGCCACTTGTAAATAGAACTATACAAAAAGTAGAAATATGCTAGGACATATGCGAGGACATAAAAAATGTTCCCTATATGTCCATGGAATAATCTAGTTCACTGAAAATAAGTGATGGAGTTAGTGATGCACTGAAATGAAAATTCTTGGCCAAAATTAGGAATCACAGGTCCGACAACTGGAAAAAGTAGATGATAGATAAAAACAAGTTATGTGAATTACAAATATTATTACAGTACATAAGCTAGTGTATGTGCCACAAAGACCAGCGTCCTCAACAGCAGAGAACAGTTGGTCATCCATTCTTTGTCATTTCAAAAACTGACTACAGTGTCAGCTAGCAGTGACTTTCTTTTCTGCTTCTGTTGTGTTGTTTTCTGTGTATCGGGCAGGATGTTGTGTTTTGAAGTGGAGAAGTTTTTGGGTGTTGTGCCTCCTTTTGATTCGTGGCATGAACAGTGATTATAAATCTCTTGTCTAATGGCCCCCTTAGAAACCATGAAATAGTTCCACACAGCTGATATGTCCACTGTTTTTCTGCCACTGCTCAGATTGTTTGAACGCGTCTGTGCTGACCGGCACAGGAGAGCAAAAGGAACAGACAGTGTTTTCAATCCCTGTTGCTCATTTTCATTAGCAATAAAATTATTGGTACACTCTTAGATTGTGACCTGTCATTGTAGGCCTGTTTCATCTTTTTTTGTTCCAAAATTTTGGCCTTTTTTTCTTTGTCCCCCGAAAACCAAAAGTGCCTTTGTGACCATTTTCAGCCAAAAAATGTTGATGTATCCTGAGTCCATTTTTGTATATTTTATTTGTAAATAAGGAGGATTTCGATATTGAGGAACAGAATTTGTTCTTTTGGACAGCACTTTAACATGCACATATTAAAACTTTATTAGTACAAAACTTTACAAATTAAATGTGTTGTTCTTGATAACATGGTCTAGTCCTCTCTGAGGTACTGACTTGTCAACATTGATCAACCTAGTGATGTAGAGATGTGTCAAGGCCTTGTCATACATGTGACCTTGGGGCACAGCAGCAATTAGCATCCGTAAAAAAATGGTTTTACCTTATATATATGCACACAACATCAGTTATATTAATTCAACTAATCACTTTAATAATATAAATGCTGATCTGGGATCTGTTTTTCTAACCATATCAGTCATAACTCGAGGGTGACTCTTATCTGAGGTCAGATTCCTTTGCGAATACCAGCACAGGTGTGAATGAGGTGTGTCTTCAGCAAGGTCTTGAGTCATCAAGTGTTCATTCTGTTCAGGTTCTGACGCACAGTCTCAGTCTTGTCATGTCCCACAGATGCCAATCCATGTTGCTCGTGTCAACACGCGGCTGGCATACTAAGGGTTCTTCTCATAGCTTCAGCAGATTCTAATCTAATCCTGCAGAAACCAGTCAGACCTGATGCGGGGCACCAGGCCTTCGGGGTTTTAGGTTCAATCTTGTGTAACATTACCCCGTCACGCTTTGTAATATACAGCTTGAGCATATACTTGAGACGTGTGACCTCTTTCAGACCTTATTTTCTTTTTTGTATGATCTAAATATCAGCATGATGACACAGCTTAAACCTCTTAAATGTCTTAAACCTGACACATAAGACCTTTTAGAGTAAAATGATCCTCCTTGGTGGAGGAGTGGCTGTTTGCCTTTGCTTTTCTTGTACCAATTCTTGCCATCAAACTGCTTGATCTTTGGGCTGGAATCTGTTGTTTTATCTAATGTACACACTTAAAAAGATGGTTCTTCAAAGGTGATTTAGTAAAGGCAGTTGTTCTCTTTAGAACCATGGGTTCATTTGCATGCTTAAATGGTTCTTTGCATGGTGAAATTGTTTTTCAGTTTGATGGAGAATGTGTTGCATGGTTCTATATAGCAGCAAAAAGAGTTCTACTGTTGCAGGCTTGACATCGGAACAACAGCAGCACCCTTTTTGGTGCTATATAGAACCATTTTCAAAAAAGGTACTATATAGAAACCTATACAACACATTCTCCATCAATCTGAAGAAAGATTTCACCATTCAAAGGACAATTAAAGCTTGCACATTGTTTTTTTGAGTGTTCACGGTTCATTTTCTTTACTAAAGAACCCTTAAAGAACCATCTTTTTAGGAGTGCAATAGAATGCAAACATTTTAAACAATTTATAGGACCTTAAACAGCACATTTTTACATACATGCCTTACAACTTACCTTTTTGATATCATACTTTTGCTATTTTGATGTAGCATATTAGCGTCCTGCTCCTGTTGACATCAAGTAATCACTGAGGGTTCTTGACTTTTGGTTCCATAACAAACCCTTCAATTGATGCGTCTTTGAAACAACCATTTTTGGAAAAGAGATTTATAAACCTTTGATGTCTGAACCTTTTCAAAGTGGAGCCTTCACGTAATGCATACACTTCTAGGAGGAACCCTTAAATTGGTGCTAAACCTTTACGGTAAACCCTTAAAAGGTTCTTGAAACTCACACATTTCTTTTTGAAACATGGTTCCCTAGGTATCCCAAAGTGCCCTTTCTATGGCAGTGGTTCCAAACACTGGTCCTGGAGTACCCTCCCTGCCTTGCACAGTTTAGTGTTGTTCCTGCTCCCAACGCACCTGATCCAATTAAGCAGTTAGCAAGAGTTTCCTGAGTTGAATTAGGAGTTTTAGATCAGGAAAACGCAAATATGTTCAAAGAACACTTTGTGGTAACTTTATAATAAATGTAGTTTTGTTATAACTGAAGTTTGGGGGGAGGAACATGCCTGAAACCCCTCCTGCTTCCAGTCTAACGCCCTATAAATTGATATCCTCACCTTCTGTTCCCATGACGAAGTGTTCGCAATACCCAACGCCACCCCATCTCCTCCCAGTTCCTCAGTCCTACCACAGATATGAGGGGGTCTGGCTTTCTAGCTACAGGCAGAAGCCACCCAGAACTTAAGCCCAAGTTCTCAGCGTTCGCCCCCTCCCTCAGTCAGTCTTCCCTCATACTACTACCATATGTTGAAGGCATGGTCTGAACTCACAAAAGATGTTTTGTACTGTAAGATCTAGTCAGTGCTGGCAAAGGTGTAGCATGATTTAAAATGATGCTGACAGGCAGCTGCACTCATACTGGTGCTGCACTTGCAATTCCAAAGAAAGTCCAAGAAAAGGCTTGTAGTGCCCTCTAGTGGATTCATAAGCACAGCACCACTGAGCATGCTTGCTGATACATTTTTGATAAATCTCTGTGTTTTTGTGCTTTTTTTTTTTTTTTTTTTAAGCCTCTGGCATATTTCAAAAGGAATGCCATTTACAGTGTCAGCATAAGATTTGGATTTAAACAGTAATTCCAGAAATGTTTCAAAATACCTGCAAAGTTACATAATTGAGATGTGAACAAAATCATTCAAAGTGGATTAATGTGAAATAGTGTATTGTGGAGAAACTTCCCGTGATGTCGTGTGAATGTTCAGGTTTTATACGCAGCCTTGAAAATAATGAAAAAATGCTGTGATAAATCTTAAAAAAAAGTTTTATTCTTAGACAGTTTTGTCTTAGAACAGCCTGCATTTACGCTATAAGGTTTAAATAAAATATGTTTTAGGCAAAACCTTTATCTCAAAACAACAACAAAATGTCTCAGGGATTAGGCAGCGTATTCATAATGAATTCATGTTCTAACTCTGTGAGGGAGCATTTAGAGGCAGGCATCCGGTTCCTGTCACCACCACTGTGAACAACTCTGACTCGGAAAGTTTCTCTAGAACAGAGTATTTCACGCCAAACCACTCTGAATGACCCTGCTTACATCTCAACCTCAATTTGATTATGCAAATATTTTGAAAAATATGTGAAATTCTCCTTTAATGGTCAGGTTAGGTATTGCCTACAATGAATTCTCTTGGTAATAACTTGCATTTAGACAGACATGGTAACAAGTAAATAAAGAAACAGAATGCAACAGAATGGGGACCATTCTGTACAAGTAGTAAATATGAAGAATGTGTAGAGACAGCAATGCATTCACTGAGCACTTTATTAGGAACACCTGTACATGTGCGCATTCATGCAATTATCTAATCGAGTGTGTGGCAGGAATGCAGTGCATAAAATCATGCAGATACGGCCAGCAGCTTCAGGTAATGTTCACATCAACCATCAGAATGAGGAAAAATGTGATCTCAGTGATTTTGACCGTGGCATGATTGTTGGTGCCAGACGGGCTGGTTTGAGCATTTTTATAACTGCTGATTTGATGGGATTTTCATGCACAACAGTCTCTAAGTTTACTCAGAATGGAGCAATAAAGAAAATCCATACGGTGAGCAGCAGTTCTGCAAAACTAGAAAAGTCAACGGAGAATGACCTGACTGACTCGAGAAAGGCTATGGCAACTCAGAGAACCAGTCTGTACAAATTGTGGTGAGAGAAAAGCATCTGAGAATGCACAACACGTCAAACCTTGAAGCGGATGGGCTACAACAGCAGAAGACCATGTCCTGTTCCACTTCAGTCAGCCAAGAATGCTGAGGCAGTTGAAGACTGAAAAAATGTAGTTTGGTCTGATGAATCTTGATTTCTGCTGATGCAGATGATAGAGTCAGAATCTCGTGCCAACAGCCAGAATCCATGGACACAACCTGCCTTTTGTCAACAGTCCCGGCTAATAGAACACCTGAGGGACGTGGTAGAACAGGAGATTCACGCCTAAAAAATCTGCAGGAATTGTATGGTGCAATCATGTCAACATAAAGCAGAATCTTGAGGGAATGTTTCCAACATCTTGTGGAATCCATGCCATGAAGAATTGAGGCTGTTTTGAGAGCAAAGGGAGGCCCTACCCAGTATTAGTACAGTGTTCCTAATAAAGTACATGGTGAGTGTATGTATCATCAAATATATGTTGTAAGTATGATCTTTTCATCCTTTCAGTAGGTACAGATTTGGTAATATACAGAATGCGGCAACTGTAGCATGATCGATAGCTACTGTTAGATCTATGCTTGTAATGCTTTTACATTGCTCTAAATGTCTTGGCTGATCGACTACCAAATGTAATCGATTAGCCAAGACATGTTTGGTGTCTGAAGTTTGCTTCTATAGTTTTCATACTGGAGCTACAAGGCTAAAGTAGCTAACTAATGGTAATAGAAGCTGATAAAAACAGATGAAAGGATGCACAAATGTTAGGCTACTACTGTTTTTAGCTTTCATTTTTGTCCAATTCTTTCATCAACACTGAATGCTTTTTCAGGCACTTAATAATCTGATTGTTGCAGAAAATCAGATTTTGTCAGTAATTCAACCCATTCGCAACCAGCCAACAAACTCGTGGACGAAGACTTGACGTAAAGGTAATGTCACGCATTGGCTTTTTTTTTAAATCATCATTTTAGCAGAAAATTTTGCTTAATATACATCATCTAGAAGATCAAGCATGTAGTTGGTTTCAGCATCACTCCAAAAGTGTTTTGTTGCCATCTTGTGGGTGCTGTGTTAAATGCTGCTTGCTGTTTCGAGAACAGCGCTCTGTTTTCACAGACTGAGAAAAATGAAAGAAATCAGAGTAAGGGTTCAGATGCACTAAAATACCTGATTACTGAGCTAAAATCCAGCTCACTTAACAGTCTGCCTTAGTGTAATGTGTGTAAGATT